AGGAAGTCCTTGGAATAATTACTTATGATAGAAGTGGCTCAAAATTGGGTTCTAAAATCTCCATATCCACCCTTCTAAATAGCTTAGGCATCTTCCTAAACTGATATCTGATCCACCCCGGGATATGATTCTGGGACCAGCTTGTAACATCTTCACATTTGTCTTCATTCCCAAGTCCTGTTTTGTTGTCAGAAGTACTCCAGCAATGTTAATTAAGTAAAGTTGGTGCCACCCAAATATCCTCATTACTCAGAGGTAAGCCAAAGGAAATTAAATGGTAATGCTCTAGGACAATTGTAGATCTGACAAAGCCAGACAGGAACTTGGGTTTCTGTGTCTGAATCTTGTGCTTTTGTTGCAGGCAGTATTGTGCTGCTAGTGCCGAACTGGCTTTCTCCTCTTGCTCATTGCTACCACATCTGGGACCTGAGATCTCAGGACCAACAGGTTTTGAAAATATCAGCTATCTTAATCCTACCCACTAAAGATCTTTTGAGTTCACCTTCTATACTACTACCATAATGATCTTCCTAAACTGATATCTGATCATGTTACTCTTTCGCTTCACAGTAACTCACTGCCAGATAATCAAATCCAAACTTCTAGCCTGGCATATAAATTCTTGTCTCTACATTGCTCCCCTTAATCAAAGCATCAGACATATTGATTTTGGTCCCACAAAATAACTCCCCTCTTCTCTATCATCATGTCCTACTTTCTGCTGGGAACTCCCAACCCATCCGGGAAAACCCCTTCACATCTCTAGCTTCAGTGCTGTCACTTCTTCTACAAGGACTTTCCTGATATGCTTTCTTCCTGCAGAGCTTCTCTCAGCAAAATGTGGATCAAATTCATACACCCTCTCTTAACTGAAGGGTCACGTGATAAAAATGACTATGAAAGGTCTCTGAAAAATGCCAAACACTACATACTCCAAGTTATGTTATTATAAGTTATTATACAATAAGCCTTATTTCTTTAGAAACCTAAATACAGGACTTGTGATTACTATAAAATTAACCTCTACAAATTAGAACATTTTCCGTTTATTCATTGCTTAAATGTGAGCTAAGCTTAAAATTGTGATGAGAACTATGCTCATTTCAGCCACAGATTAAAATTGGACCCATACAGAGACTAGCATGACTTTTACCCCACATGATTTCAGTAGTGAAAAACTGCAGGTTGCTTCCTAGAATTCTGTTCCCAAGTTTCATTTCTTTCCTTTAATCAGATGGAATCATCTTCCTTAGCACTCTAATTCTCTTTTAGCCAATAAATAAAAGTTTGATTTCCTTAAGTGACTTTTGCTGTAGCATTGATTCTTTGTTGCTTCTTGACTACCCAATGTGGAGATAGAGCCACCTACTGTTTCTGGAACACAGTGATAAAAACAGGTAACTTTTATTAAGTGCTTAACTCTGTAACAGGCACTCCTTATATAATCTCTGAAGATAAAATTTAAACCTCACTACAACTCTCATTTCCTCTCTGAAAAATGGGCATGAAAAAATGGAGACTTAAGAAGGTTAAACCTCTTGCTGCAGGTCACAAAGTAGAGGAAGGATTTACCCAGAAGTCTGATAACACATCCCACTGTTACCCACTGAATTATACCACAGCTCCAAGGGACTGTGGAGCAACAAAAGTGAGGGCTCCGTTGCTCTTCTGAAACTTACACTTAGTGCAGGTGGAAGGACCCCGGGGTTATGAGAGCAAACGGCAGGCTTTGGACATGCATATGAAACAATCATTGCCACAGTAGGTCTCCGTCGCAAACTGGAACACTAAGACCTAAAGGAACGCAGGTGGGACAGGTGCTGACACTCAGGTATCAGCCACAGAGCAGGGGACTGGCTACTGGGGTCAAAGCGATTTGCCACATACTCAATCCTTTGCACACGTTTTGTTCGGTTTTTATCAGAATGGAAAATGATTTTGTCTTACTCATTTCCCTCCACTCCTAAACATCCCTTCAAAAAAGACCTCATTAGATCAAATGTGGTATCCTGGATTGGATTCTGAAGCAGTAAAATGACATTAGTGGGCAATTGGTGAGGTTTGAAAAATTCTGTAGTTTAATTAATAGTAATATAACAATGTTAATTTCTTTGTTTTGATCAATGTATCCTGGTTATTGAAGATGTTAGCATTAGGGTAAACTGGGTTAAGTATAAACAGGAATTCTTCGTATTTTGCAACCTTCCTGTAAATCTAAATCTAGAATAATTTTTAGATTTTTCTGAAATGATTGTTGAATTCATCAGTGGAAAAAAAAAAAAAGAACTATTTATAGGCAAAACTCCAGTTTTGAACTCATTGGTATTGAACATTATCTTTTGAGGGAATATTGGTTGAGAATGCATTACAGTCTTATTTTCTCAATATGACTGCAACCTCGTATTACTATTAAGAAACACAAAAGAATGTTATAGTTAGCCAATGATATGATTACCCTATACAGTTTCCTTCTGACCTTTTGCACATCCTTAAATCCCAAGTATCATAACCTGGCACATATTTTGTAAACAGCAAAGAGAAAGTAAAACAATGACAAATCGTGAAGGCAACTTTGTCATAATCATACTACCTTAGATAAGGCTCAATAATATTACCTCAAACAGGATAATTTTGCATTACAAATATTTTCTGTAACAGCCCTGGGAGAGAGTGGAACATTTTGTGTCCAGAGCTTCTGGCTCTTTCCTCATATTTGAAGAACGAGTCAAAGAATGACCAGTATTGTGGTCAATGGGAAGCAGTCATCTGAACATTCTTTTCAGATTTTGAACAGTGAGGCCTTCAATGAGATGCTATTGTTTAAACACTTTTTTTAGGATTAAAAAAATTCACAACCCCGTTTGCCTAATCAGATCTCAATTGCTCTGCCAGCCACTACCAGCTCCTTCTCAGGAAAGAAGGAGCTCCTCTGGACTCAGCTGACTGGCAGAAGCAGAGCTGGGCTATATGTAACTGAAGGTAACATCTTTAGCTCATTTCTGCTTTGTTTTGCCCAGTCAGATCCTGTAAATGATGCTAATCTTCTGCTCACAGTAAGTGGCCTCTATCTTTTAAAAACTATTGACACATGGTCACGGAAGAGAACTTCTTAAAGTTCAAGGTGTGTACTCTGGTAGAAAAGGTTTTCAACAGAGTAACAACCATGCTTTCCACTGGGTGGCATGAACAAGAAGCAGGGGAAAAAGATAGAATCAGAAGAGAGGAAATAGAAAGTTATTCTTCTCAGAAGTTGAGAAAGGGCCTGGTCAATTACAATTTCTGAGATCTTCAAAAAATGCAAAAAAAAAACAAAAAACAAAAAACAAAAAAAAAACGGATAAATGCCAAAACTGGGTTACTAAATTACAGTATAATTTAACATTAGCATCTAATTTGCATCTTTTTAAATATGAACCAAACCCAAATAGCACTACTATCCACAATCCTCCTTCAGGTGCCCACCCCAAAAGCCTCAACAGAATGGGAGTAAAATTTTAGGAAAATGGACTAAAGAGAATACAAAGAGAGAAGTAACAAGGAAGTCAGTAAGGAGATCACTATCTTGGGACTCTGATAACTGGGTACTAGAAGAAATGGTGCAGGAACAAAGCAGAAAAGAAAGAAAAAGGGAAACTAGGAAGATCTGGAGTACCACTTATAGTAGTCTCAGGTGCACTGGGTATTAATGCTTGGTCACTTTCTACTGATACAGCTCTGAGGAACATCTCTGATGCGTTGTTTAGTAAAAGGAATCTACAATCATCCACTAGGTGCCCAAAGAGCATAAGGGGCAGTGCTGGGAACTGAGGAATGGGAGTCACGATAAAAAGAACTGTCTGTCGGCAAGGAAAGTGAAATATGTTCTTTGCACTCTCTGGGAAGCAAATAAGGAGGTAAACAGGTCTCAAAAGAGAAAGGGTTAGCTTCCTAGAAAGACCTTCAATAACAGTTGTGAAACTCTCCTAGAATAACTTCGATGGCAAGGAACCTAAGTTATAGGTAAGTGCTTAGAAAGTCAATATACATAGGCAAGTACTTGGAAGTTGGTATTGCGATTCCATTGTGCTAAATTCCTTTCTTTCTTATTTACTAAGCGTTAACGTGGTGTTAACTACCATACCATAGGCGCCAATAGCCACCATTCCAGCTAAGAACTTCCAAGATATTGGGGACGCCAGTAAGGAGATCACTGCCTCGTGCCTCTGATAACTGGGTGCCAGGAGGAAAGTGTCTCCTAAATTTAATCTTGAAGGAGAAGCAGAAATTAGCCTTCTACAGAAAGACACTAATAGCGCCGCAAGTAGAGGACATGAACTATAGGAGAGGCGGGTAGATGGGTCAGGAGCAGCCAGTCTGGCCAAGGCTTTTTCTGTTTGGTATAACCCTTCTCCCACATCCTTCAACTCTGACTCCAATGATAACTGACAATAACCTTAAATTTCCGTAAGAATAATTGGTGAATCACGCTTCTGAGATACCTACACCATGGTCGCCCAAAGTCCGTTGCTCGGAAATAACTCTCCACCATTTTAATAAAAGGCATGTAACGCCAGCCTTGAAACGCGGCTTCACCTGTACCAATATTTTATAAATCCATCTAGAAGTTAGGAACTGCGAAAGGAAGCGGAGGACGAACGTCGCTCCACCGCAGGATGAGAGCCGAATAAAACCTGAGGGAAGGTTTCGCGCGGGGAAAAAAGCCTTGCTGCGCAGACGCGGAGGTGGGCGCGCGCATGCGCAGCAGAAGACGGAGCGTCGGGGGCAGGACTTTGGGGAAGGGGGCGCGGCGCACCCAGCATGGCGTCCAACATCTATTTGTTTCGCCAGCGGATCAGCCGGTTCGGCCAGGTGCGGCCGGGGGAGGCTCCTCCCCTTCCCTGCCCCAGCTCGTCTCTGTCTTCTTGGGCTGCCCCTTTCCGTCTCCGCCCCAAAGCCTCGGCTAGCCGCTCAACCGCCGCCGCCCCGCCCCGCGGCCTCCCGGGTCCGCCTCCCGGGTCCGCCTCCCGGAGCCTGGCCCGCCTTCCCTTTCTCGCCGCCGGGCTGCTGTGTCTCGTCGGTCCCCCTCCTCCTCCGCCCCGCTGTCCTGATTGTCTTTCCCTCCTTCCCTCAGAGGATGTCCTCCTTCCAGCTCAACCTCAACCCGCTCAAGGAGCCGCTCGGCTTCATCAAAGTCCTCGAGTGGGTAAGTGCAGCCCGCGCCAGCGAGGCCGAGAATTGCGCTTCTCCCTCTCCTGCTCCGGCCCGGCCAGCGCCCTCGGCGAGTAGGCGGGGAGCCCCGGGAGAGGAGGCGCGGCCCCGCTCGCACGGACCCAGAGGTCGGCGCCACCCCCGGGACGGGACGGGATAGGCGGGGAGGGCACGAGAGGCCGCAGCCTGGGCCCTGGCCGGCGCGGGGCAGGGACGCCGCGGTCGGCGTTGAATCACTAGTCCCTGGGCTGCGTGTGTCCCGGGCAGAGCCACTCTGCCGTAGCGAAGCTCACCTCCTGGTACCCCAGTGGGAGTGGGAGTTCAAATTTCTCTTTGGCTTCACTGCTTCCCGCAAGGGAAGAGAAAACTTCCTGTTGCGGTCTAACCGAAACCCCGGTTGGCGCTGCCGCTGCAGGTCCTGTGGAAAAGACGGCCTGTGCTTTTTTTGCCTTATGCTGACTTGAGTGCGCTCCCTCGAAAGGTGATTGTGCCTTGTCAAAGTGACTTGACGTGCACTCACTTTTTAATTGCTTTTCAGATGGGCTCCAAGTTATAAATGGATAAAAATAAACTGGGTCTGGAAAGCGGGCGGGGATGGTGGCGGAGGAGCGGGATTCGGGAAGTGGAAAGGTCTTTTAACAAAACGCATCTAGCCAACCCAGTCCACCTAAACACGTGCTAGGAATCGCCATCACGTTTAAATATTTCTAAGCAACAACCTACAATCAGCTTTCAGTCCTTTCCTGGGGAACATTCAATCATTAACATCAAAAGAGACATTAATTCGACCTTGGCAATGATCAGTCACTTATAAGAGTTAGTGAATACACCAGGCCCTGCAGATTTCCTTCAGACTTCATGGCCTAGTACGTATTTTAATGCTCATTTTGAGGCGCGTATTAATAGGCAGCTGGCATCCGTCCAGCGTGTACAGGCAAGTTGTTTTTATAGCGAGCAAAATTTACATCCGTCCTCTTTAACCCTGTGTTTTAGTGATATAGTGGTGAAGAGTTAAGAACTTCCCATTTCCTGTTTTACAACCTACCCAGGATGTTTTTTAAAGAACAGAAACTCAAATTCTCTTATGGGTACTCAATCTGATTTCCTACCTACACCCAGTTTCCTACCTTTTCCCCAAAGTTTCAGTTGTTTTCTGAAAACTGATTTCACACATTTACTTTAAAGACCCATACATGTATGTACTTAGGGTTCTATAAACCTAGGTGCAGATTTAAATATAAAGAAAATTATTATTTGAGTATAAATTGCAGTAGAAAAATCACATTGAACTAAGCTAATCGAATATAAAGGTTAAGAAAAAGTCAGTAGATTTCATCTCATTGAAGATTATAATTAAATTTAGAATTTAAATTTTCACCTAAACGAAGAGGCAGTTTACATTTGTGCTTATATTATTTGTCCTTTTTTAAAAGACATAGACTTAACTTTTTTAATATTTCAAAACCAGTAAATTTATTAGTGATCGTAGATCTGATATATTTTGAATAATATTTTTTAAGCTTTTTAAGGAAAAACTACTGTTAATTTGAATAAATGATTACACAGGAGAACCATTTATGAAAAGATCATTCATTGTTAATAGTGTAGTGAACACTACACTATTCAAATATTTGAGTATGTATTATGTATAGTTGCTGCGGTAAGCACTAGCGTACAAACGTGAATAAAACATGGTCTTTTTCTCATGAACTCCGGCCTGCTAGGTTTCAGTTAGGTCATATAGTGGAGGTATCATATAAAAGCATTTAGATATATGAGTCTCGATTTTAAAAGACAAATGTGGGATAGAGATTCAACAGATAACAGCCAGCAGAGAAGGAATGGTTTGGAAGATGGAGAGAAAACACTTTGGCATCACTATTAGAATTTCAAGAAAAGAGTACATCAGATGCAATAGAGAGGTTAAGTAAAATGAGGACTAAAATGCATCCCTTAGTTTTGGTAATCAAAAGGTTCTTGGTGGCCTTTTTAAGAGCAGTTTTAGTAAAATCAGAAATAAGTATGGTGGTAGGCTGAACCAATGTATGGTCAGAAGAAGACAATAAACCACTATTTGACTGAAGATGGAAGAAATTTGGTGGTAACCCATCTTAAAGATGGGAAAGACTTAATGGGTTTGTGGGCTGTAGAGAAGAGACTTGTGAATACAGTTGTCAGAGATGTTAATGATTGAATTAAAAACAGAGGGGAAGCATGATATAACAAGGTCTTAGAGGAGAAAGGCCCATTGTAGGAATTTTTAAATGTGTTTTGAATGAATTGTTCAAGTTTCATGAGGCGTTGATTAAGGTGTGTTGGGGGAGAGGGGTTACCTCTAAAAATAGTCAATAAGTTCACAAACAATTCTAAAATCTAGATAAAGGCTGCTTACCATTCATATAACTAAAAAAAATGATTCTCCAAATCAGCTTCTCTCTAGCAAGGTTCTCCATGATGTTAGACTAAGAGATATAACTTGATAATATGTAACAAATAGGTTGCAAATCTGAATATCTCACAGACATGAAGGGAAGATGCCTGTAAATATTTATTGACAGAATAAAAATGCAATTGCCGAAGTATAAGCATTTTTCACTTTGCTTCTTAACTGCAGCCACCATATATCTTTTTTTTCCGTTTTTTTTCCAGTTTACTCCTGGCCCCTAATTAAGATGCCTAGTAGTGTCATTGCCTTCATTCTCTTTGTGTAATTCAGCAAAGGTTGAATTTTTGTTGCGTTTATATGGGAATATCAATATTTGACAGGGCTGTTGGTACAATTAAGCTAATACATAAATACGTGAATGATGATAACATACTTGAACAGTTCTTGGTTGGTTCTTCAGGCCTGAGATGCTGTTTTTCTAGAAGACTAGACCCAGAGGGTGGATAGAATTAAGCCCTATATAGCTGACATACGTATCTCCTTCAAGATCAGTATGACCAACATCCATGTCTCCTTCAAGATCACTGAGTTCTCTATTAGATATTTTAAACTTTAGAAATGATATATTTATGCTTTTCATTTGTCTGCATGTTCTGCTTTTAGCAGCCTCTCAAGGTGACAATATAAAATTTACATACCTTTTTGTGTAGGGGTTAAACATGGAAGTAAAAGTCTAGGATTAATTTTTATCAGAGCAGCTTTTTAAAGTATTTCTCTGGCAAATTTTACTTTGGTTCTTCATAGTCAGTTATCCCTACTATTTAGATCAAAGTTTTTCATTAAAATAATTTTATCTCTTTTTAATATTGAACACTGTGTTTTGAACTTCTTGCTGCTATCGTGCATAGGGTAGACACTGAACAAATGTTTAGCTCTTAATGAATCTAAATAATATCCTTTTCTAATTCCACACAAAAAAAAATTATGGAAGAGATACTGTTTGGGGAGAATCCAAGGAATTACAGACTAAGCAGAATTTTAGAATTTTTAACCATCTGAATATTTTTGTCTGTGCTGATCAAGTTTATTCTAGTATTAACAAGAGATATTTATTGAGTGCAATATATGTGCTGCAGCTTTACCTGTATTTTTTCATTTAATCCTCTGACAACCTGTGAGAGTTGTTGTTCTCCATGTTACTGAAGTTTATAGAAATTAAGTAATTTACCCAATATCCTATGATTATTACTTCATCCAGGATTCTTTAACAGTTTCTTCTTAGTCATTGTGATAATTCACCTTTGTGTTTCTAATTGTTTTTTTAATAAATTATTGAAAAGATTATCGAACATTTCAGGCTTTAAATAAAAACAAAGTATCCGAAGTAATTTTTTCTCGTTTGTTAGATGCATGTTTGTAAAATCTTAAGAGTTAAAAACAAGTAAGTCTTCTTGAATCATTTATCAAGTTTGAATTTTTTTCTGATTTTATACTTATAGCTTTAAAAACATTACTAAGGAGTAAGTTATTATCCAGGAAAACTAGTGTGAAAAACAGTAAGAAAACTGATAACCATTTGAGCATTACATATATCAATTTCTTAAACTCAAACTTTCAGAAATATTTAATAGTTTATATAATATACGTAATGTTTAGCTATCCCAAGTAGATCATAAGATTTTTGCAAACAGGGACCATGTTTTATCTTAATTTTGTGGTTTACAATATAGCACAGAGAACACCCCAGAAGACAGAAATCGTATTGTGGAATGGGCCATATACATACAGATGTTTGTCTCGTCCATTTGCTTAATTTTTATATTTTGAGGTTATTGGTATGTAACACAGACTACTTTTCGGGAAACTTACCTTCCTCTTTAACCCTGCCATTTGGGTTCATTTTCCCCTACTATTATGGAAAGGGAAAAAGGATTTCAAATAGCATTTTGTGCCTGCCAGGACTCAAGCTGTTAATAGACTTATTGACTCACTCCTATACCTTTAATTCTTTTATTTCTACCAGGAATCTTCTCAGTATTTACCATGAACACTCTCGTGGGATAGATCAGATGTAATTTTCATAGACAAAATATATGTGTTGTCAGTGCTTTCAAAACACATAAATGCATAAACACTCACCCCCGCACATACTAATAGCAATACTTGATAAAATATAAAAGGGAAAATTAAGATAACAGAGCAATGCTCTAATATAATGGTTATCACACACTTTGGTCTCAGAAATGCATTATATTCTTAAATATTGAGGACTTCGGGGAGCTTTTGTTTATGTGGGTTGTATATTCATATTTGCCATATTAAAAATCTAAGTTGGTGACATTTTAAAAACATTCATTTATTTTAAAATAACGATAATAAATCACTTGAAGGCTTGAATTCTATCACTGGCAACAAATCCTGCATGTTTTCCTTGAAGTAGAAGGCTCACCTCATTTGTTTTTGAGAAAAATATGCCAGATATCGAAATAGGAATAATATTTTTTTGTCTATGAGTTGTTCTTTCAAGTAAAAATGGTGTTCCAGGAAAAAAGCAGCTAGTTCAGCATATAGTTCAATTGTGTAAATCAGGGATCCCCATCCCTAGGCCA